TTTCAGTTTTCAACAGATTCTTTATAATGCAGTTAGGAAAAATCAGCTGCGTATCTAGAGGGCAATCCTATCCAGGAGCCTGGATAGCTGTGCAGACTAAGCACTGTAATTTAACACCAGCTGTGCAATTAAAGTAAGTTCGAATCTTGCCAGGGTCAAGGTTGACTCAGCCTTCCATCCTTTCTAAGGTAGATAAATTGAGGACCCAGTTTGTGGGGGCAATAAGCTGACTTTGTATAAAATATACAAAAGTATGAAGGCTATTGCTTAACGCACTGTAAGCCGCCCTGAGTCTCCGGAGAAGGGCGGCATATAAATCAAATTTAAAAACAAAAACAAAAACAGAAGCTGGCTTAGACTGAGCCCTTTTTATCCCATAATTGTTTATCTTGACTGGAAGGTTGTAGATGTCTATGGGCTTGAAGTGAGGTTCTTCTTTATTTTGTTGCTTTAAATGAAGACATTGACCATGGTGCACAATTTATCACATCACTGAGATAATCAGATCTGATATCTCAAATGAAAAGAATACAGTATCCATCAGCTTAAGTAGGATATTATGGTAAATCATTATCTCTGTGACATGATTTTTTTTTTCAGTTTATATTTTTGCTTTGGCTAGAATACTTTTTTAGTTTTCATGTTTAGCGAGCACACAGACACAGACACAGACATACAGACACACACACACACATAAAGGCTACAGTGATAGTATGGACACCCAGCACTTCCAAATCTATATTTATGTAGGACTCGTTTTAAATCAGCCAAACTTTTCTTTCAGGAATTGATTTTGATTTAAATCCCTCCCCCCTCATTTTCTTCCCACAAAAATGGTTATGATTTCTATGGGTGGAACATTATATCAGAGTTTAGGTATGCAAAGTGTCTTGATTTTCTTGCTTTGAAGATACTTTGGTCTTCTTCATAATTAGGACAAGGTGTTCCATTTGCAGTTTCCTGATGGCTATGGTTTCTGCAGCATCTTGAGACAGGCTTGAAGTGTGATGTGCTTCCTAGGCATCTTATGAAGAGATCTGGTAAAAAAAAGCCTCCTGCCACTTATCACTATATCCATTTCCTAAACATTGGGTTGTGATGTTGTGTGTAATATAATGTGGCTTTACTTCAAGGGTGACCAGCAAAAACAGGGAGAGAGAGACAGACAGAGGGAGGGAGGGAGGCAGAGAGGGAGAGAGAGAGGGAGGGAGGGAAGGAGAGACAGAGAGGGAGGGAAGAAGAGGCAGAGACAGAGAGAGAGAGAGAGGGAGGGATAGAGAGAGGAGGGAGGGAGGCAGAGAGGCAGGGAGGCAGAGTGGGAGAGGGAGAGAGAGGGAGAGAGACAGAGAGGCAGAGGGAGGAAGAGAGAGAGAGAGACAGAGAGGGAGGGAGGGAGGGAGAGGCAGAGAGAGACAGAGAGAGATATCTTTTAAGCCCTTTTTGAATTTAAAAATGCAAGATGAAAAAGAATATTGCCTTGAAACTCTACTGTCTGGATTAGCTATTCTTGATATTTCAGAGGGTTTTTTTTGTCCCATCTACAATCTTGAGAGGTGGACTTTGTCTGCCTTCTACTCATCTGATCAATGCTTGAAAAATAACATTTAGTCACTTCTAATTACAGAAGTGAAAGAAAGTTCAGTTCTGACTACCCACTCAAGAAGGAAGAGGGAGAGGGAGACAGGAAAGAATATGCTAGCGAGCATATTGGAGACTAGGGAAAAAATGAGAACAGACTTTCAGATAATCTAAAATACCTAATTTTTAACCCTTGGTGCCCCAGCTCTCCAGGGGGATGACTCCAACCTACTTCTTGAGTCATTATTTGCTATAATTTCCAACCCTAGCTTTATGGATGTTCGTATTCATAAGAATATGTGTCCAGTTCTGGTTGTTGCAATATAAATAGGACATTGAGGCACTGGAAAGAATGCAAAGAAGAATGACTGGGATGTCAAAAAGTTTGGAGGCTAAATCCTACACAGAGCAGATAAGGGAACTGTATCTTTAGCCTAAAGAAAAGAATGCTAAACAGACAGATGACGACAACAGGGAAGAGGTGTAGATTTATTCTCCCAAGTAGCTAAATCAGTGGTGGGTTGCCCCTGGTTCGGACCGGTTCACAAGAACCGGTAGTAAAACTGGCGGGAGGCCCCGCCTACCACCCCGGATGTCATCATCTGCAATCTGCGCAACCCGTTGCGAACCGGTAGTATAGGTAAGTAGAACCCACCCCTGAGCTGAATGTAAGAAAAGAAGCTCTACAGAGAAGAATCCAGATTTAAAATATTATCTGACTATGACAGCTTTTAGGCAGTGGAACAACCTGCCTGCTGAAGTCATGAGTGCTCCATCCCTGAAGGTTTCTAAGAAAAGATTGGACAGCCATTTGTCTGGCATAGGAGTTGTGTTGGCTCCGTGGTTAAAAATCCCGAGCTTGTCAGCTGGAAGGTTGACACCTAGATTTGAGCACTGTGTGATGGAATGAGCTCCATTACTTGTCCCAGCTCAAGCCCACCCAGCACTTTGAAAGCGTGCAAATGCAAGTAGATGCAAGTAGTAATGGTACCACTTTGGTGGTGAGGAATTTAATTTAATTTAATTTAATTTAATTTAATTTAATTTAATTTAATTTAATTTAATTTAATTTAATTTAATTTAATTTAATTTATTCAATTTATATGCCGCCTCTCTCCGAAGACTCAGGGCGGCTTAACAGTGTTTAACAGAAACAGTGTTCTGTGTGCCTCGGCATATAATTATGCTGGCCACATGACCACAGAAATGTCTTTGGAAATGTTGGGTCTCTCAGCTAAGAAAGGGAGATGAGCATTGTCCCCTAGAGTCCGACACAACTGGACAGGGGAACCTTTATCTTTATCTGGGATGATATGAAGAGTTTTGCACTGGATGGCAGGTTAGATTATATAACTTCCAAGGCCTCTCCTAACCTTACAATTCCATGGTTGTAAGAGAAGAATACTGAGAAAATGGACAGAGGGTATGTATTACCTCTCTAGTGATCCTCTCTAGTGCCTGAACCAACAAAGAGAACCAATAGATGGGCACTTTTCAGGCAGATCCGTAAAGTAGTGGACAGCTTGCATCCTACAGTCCATCAACTGAAAACTTTCAAACAAACATTTTTCTGGGATAGCCTGAGGAGTTAAAGGGTTACTTTAGAAGACCACCAACATCCTTTTATTCTATAGTGAAGGATTCAGGATGGTTCATGAATCTCACTTGGAAACTCTGAGGTAATTGGGCTTTGAAGATAAACTTCTTGATGGTGTATTTTATTTCTATTTGATTTATATAGTTACAACAGAATAAGCTCTATTGTACCCACTGTGTTTGCATGAAACGAATGAGTCAGACAAGCAGAAAATATCCTTACTGGGCAGCTCATGATCACAATAATGGAGCCCAAGTTTCCTGTTTTAACCTAATGAATCCTTCCTCACTGACAATAAGAAGCTTTGGGTACTCATTGAGCAGTTATATGAGAAGAGGATTCTCAAGGCTTCATGATATCACCATGTTCTTTGTCTTTTAGTTAGGCAGGTGGCAGGAAGCATGGAAGGGAAAAATTCTGTAGACATTGCTCCATCAGTCACAAATACTTAAATCTTATTTATTTATTAAATTTATATACTGCCCATCTCACCAGTAAGGTGACTCTTGCCTTACCTTGCCCTTCTACTATTGGTTTGGAACACCCATCAATGCTTATCACTGTTTTTTTAAAAAAATGTAAACATAAATATACACCCAAGTTGTATATGTACACAATTACCAGGAAAGCAGAGAAAAATCAACCAATTTTAAACATGCAGAATGTAGTTTCTCTTGTCATGATTTGAATGTTAAAAAAAAAAATCTTGTCTCGCAGGAATTAGGTAACCAAATGTGGGTTTAGACACCTGTCTGATTTACATGACCAGTAATTCTAACTACCATATTTTTTGGAGTATAAGATGCACTTACCTTTTGTGGTGAGGAAAAGACGAAAAAGAAATCTCCCTCTGCCTCTGAGCAATTTTGCCTCTTTGCAGCAAACAGCAAACAGCCTGCTTTACTTTCATTTTCAGCTTTGCTGGATTAGCACAAGGGGAAAAAAAATCTGCTCCAGTAATTTACCTCTTTCCAGCAGGCAGCAGAGCTCTGCACAAAACAGCTGAGAGCAAATCAGCTGAGAGTCGAGAGGCCGATCCAATCAAGTTGTGCTAATTAGGCTGTGCTGAAGCTGAAAGGAGCTGCTTTTTCTTGCTGTTTGCTTGCAAGGAGGTAACTGCTGCGAGACAGAGGCCAAAGAGTGGGGGCCAGTGGGTGGGTGGGGCTATATTTGGTGTATAAGACACACCTAAATTTTCACCCCCTTTTCTCCTAATCTGAACCTGAGAGACAGTTTGGTTTAGTGCTTAAGGTTGGAGACTAGGAGACTGTGAGTTCTAATCCCCATTTTAGGCACAAAGCCAGTCAGTTTCTCTCAGCCCTAGGAGGAAATCAATGGCAAATCATTTCTTTTAAACTTTATCAAAAACACCCTGTAGGGACTTGTCCAGGCAGTCTTCAAGAATCGGACACAACTGAATGGAAGGAAAAAATAATAATATGAACCTTGCCATTTTGGAATTATTTAGATTTATTCTGTTAAATATGATTTCTTGTAAGGTCCTGAGAATAAAAACAAGGACTTAAGGGAGCTATGAAGATGTATTGCTTTAAGCATTTCAGAATGGTTCCATGAAGGATTTTAAAGTCACCTTCCTTCAAAGAGGCTTCAAAGCAAAAAACAAAGTTACCAAATGTTCTTTTGAGTGTTCTTATAAATCATAGTTGTATAAGTTGCCTTCAAAGAGCAAGTCAAATGCCACTAGACAGATTTATGACTTTTGCTTTGTGACCCATGATTTTTCAATACTTGCTGATGCTCCCTTTTTCCCTACAATTTCCTAGTGGGGGAAAATGCTATTTTATACATGAGATTCCATTCAGAATGCACACATCATCTTTTACTTGCTGGGCATGGATGTCAGCACTACGCGAAGAAGAAGTATAACTTTAATCAGTGTGCTTTCTTATAAATATTCGTGAGAGACTCTGCACCTGAAGCACTCCCAATCCCCCCCAGGAACATCTGAATCTAGTTCAAAGGTAAAGCGTTTTAAAATTTGCTTTCGATGCTACATTAAATTTGTATGCAATCAGTCACTGCACAGTATACATGTATCTGTTAATAGAGGAATGAGTGATTTTCACCGTTCAGCTTAGTTCATTTATTCATGCGTTCTGTTCATTGCATGATCACACTTGATGTATCAAAATGAGGTGGAAAATAAGGATGCAGGAAATGCCACATTACAAAATGCTAAAGATCAATTACGTATGCTGGAAATCTAATCTCCAATCACACGTAAAGTGTCCTGTCCTACCCTACCCTAACCTACCCTACCCTACCCTACCCTACTCCACTCCACTCCACTCCACTTTCCACTCTCCACTCCATTCCACTGTTACTGGGATGTGAAAGCGAGCTAAAAGTAACCACGTTACAAAATGCTAAAGATCAATTACGTATTCTGGAAATCTAACCTCCAATCATATGTAAAGTGTCCTGTCCTACTCTACTCTACTCTACTCTACTCTACTCTACTCTACTCTACTCTACTCTACTCTACACTACTCCACTCCACTCCACTCCACTCCACTCCACTCCACTCCACTCCACTCCACTCTCTCCACTCTCCACTCTCCACTCCATTCCACTGTTAACTTGCCACCTCTGGGATGTGAAAGTGAGCCAAAAGTAACTAGGTAGTAACTTGAATAGCTTTTCAATGATTGAACTAAAATCATGCAATGAAAACCTAAGCCCTCATGCAGGGTCTTTTGATTGCTGCAAAATCAGCTGCAGATCTCTATCATTTCATGCAGCTATGATGTCTCTAAAATTGCAATGCACGTTTCCTTTTTTGAAATGATTACGTTCTGTAGAGCTGGGATGGAAACTCTTTTCTCGTTAATGGGAATTCTTATCTTACTCTGTTTCTTGTATTTCAGCCCCCCTTCCTGAAGAGGGCCCACCACTGTAACACCTTGCTGAAATGCAATTACTCCATAGGCCACAGAGGATAGAGTCTAGGTGGTTTTGCAGTTGTCTTGCAAAGCAACTGCTTAGATTATTTTAATCACCAGACACAAATATATCACATGATCTTTAAAAAAAATGGATGGATGGTGCACTCTTTGCTTCCTTTACTGATCATCTCAAAAACCTACTGATGGGCTCAAAAGTGTTCTCAGCATCTCAAGGATGATGGCAGCAAAGATAATTATATTTATCAGTTTCCTATTATGGGTGAGTTTTGAGAAAATGGGAGTTTGCTAATGTCTCATTCTAGAATGTGCTTAGAATCATTTGTCATACACAGCCTTTTGTCATCTGCTCCTAATCTGATCAGTGTTCATTGTTTTCTTAAGGGCTATTTAACATAAAGAATGATGTGGTACAATGTAATGCTTTCTTGTTCTGAAAAATCAAGATTTATTCCATTTACTTCCAATTAAATGAACTGAGCACGGTGGCTAGTTTGTAAATATTCAGTATACTGTTCTATGAGAGAACTGACTATCTTGAAGGCAACATTTGCAAGGCATTTTGTGAATGGCAGCATTATAAAACCAGCAATGATATTGTGTCTGCTAATTATTTGGCTGTTCCTTACAGAATTACTGCTCCCGAAGGAAATGTCAACTAATATGAATATGCAAACATCGCACCCACCTACACATATGCTGTTGCTCAGTTATTCTTGGCAGTGCCAGCGCTGTCAATCTCAAGTCTTCAAAAGTGTGAGTTAAAATTTTAATGATAAAGTTGAATCCATAAATATTTGTGTTATTTGTTATTAGCTTTCTTCCTATGGCTGGAAAAGAACTAGGTTGATATGAGACAGTTTAGTTTTGCCTTCACACACACACATACAAAAAGCTTTGTGTCACCTGGATGATGTCATTCTCTTTGCTGGGGCACAGGGAGAGCATACTTAGCCTTGACAGAGATTTGGCATTGTGTTGAAGACTTTCTATTAGTTCTCATCTCCTCCCCTTCCCCAAAAGAAAACCAGCTTTAATTCAGTTTTTAAAAAAAAGTGATGCAGGATTATAGCAGAGAATTGTAGAGGGTAGCATTGTTTGATTGTCTCCTCTTAGCTACTTTCACTGTTTGAAATAGCCAGAAAAGTGTTCATTACCTTCTTTTAGCTTTTCGTCAGGATGGATCCAAAACAGAGCAAAGGAAGCAATTTGGCAGGGGTTTCCCCCCGCTTTTAAAGTGAGGGGCCACGCAAGTGCTTTGTATGAAACTTCACGGAAATAATGCACTTCCTTCAAGACTTGCATAACCCTAAGAAAGCATATAATATTACAGTTAGTTGGGAATGGAAACACAGATCACTCACAAATAGCAATCACATAAACCTCCCCACCACTAATCTTAGCGTTCAAAGCCTCATTCTGATTACAGGAGAAATCTGCTAACTTCTGAATTGAATACTCCTTTTTCCACTCTTCTGCCCCTTATCATCAGGTATACATTAAAAAATTGCCCCCAAAAGAATGACTTTTATATTTTAAATCTTTGTGCAGAGCCATATCCCTTTCAAGTATGCTGATCTCTTGAATATATATGATAGATAGAGTAAGACACAGATTCTATATCAACTGAGTTCAAATCCATTATGTATCACCTCTTTCAATATTGGACTTGAGCTGTGCATCCATCAGGAGGACAGCAGTATTGCTCAGCTACTTGAAGGCAAACACCAAGTTCCTTCTAAGCCGCTGAGAGAAAAACACAGCTATTGTGTCTCTAGTGTGCACAGCAAATCAAAATATTAAAATAAACTCTAGGTATATTCCTCCATAAATCCTCTGCAATGAATGGCGAGTTCCATCAATCAGAGAAGAGCTGGAGGTCTTCTAGTCCAACCTCCTTCTCAAGCAGGAAGCCCTATATCAGTGGTGGGATTCAGCCGCTTCTCTCTGGATCGTGCGAACCGGTAGTGGCGACTGCAGGAGGCTCTGCCCGCCCCACGTAATGTGCGACTACTGTGTATGCACAGAAGGATGTGTGCATGCGCAGAGGTGGCATGTGCACTCACATTTGCGAACTGGTAGGGAAGGTAAGTGAATCCCACCTCTGCCCTATTCAATTTCAGACAAGTGGCTATCCAGTCTTTTTCTTAAAAACCTCCAGTGATGAAGCACCTACAACTTCTCTAGGTAAGATGTTCCACTGACTAATTGTTCTTACTGACAGGAAATTTCTCCTTAGTTCTAGGTTGTTTCTCTCCTTGATTAGTTTCTATCCATTGTTTCTTGTTCTGCCTTTTGGTTCTTTAGAAAAATAAATTGACCCCCTCTTTTGTGGCAGCTGGAATACAGCTATCATGTCACCCCAGTCCTTCTTTTTTCTAGACTGGCCATACCCAATTTCTTCATATGTTTTGGTCTCCAGGCCCTTAATCATCTAAGTTGCTCTTCTCTGCACTTTTTCCAAAGTCTCAACATCTTTTTTGTAATGTGGTGACCAAAACTGGATACTTTGGTAATAGCATCACTAATACAGTATACTACAAACCATTATAGCAGGGGAGGTTAACAGGTACCTTTCTAGATGTTGTTGTGCTCTAGACCTCATCTATTTTCTGGCATAGGATCAACGGGCAGAGATCACAGGAGTAGTAATCCTGCTACTTATTGTCCCCTCCTGCATTTATCTGTCTATGTTGCCAGAGGATTGCATGCTGAAACAACCGGACCAAGGAGACAGAATGTATAGCTGTTTTATTGCACTGCAGTATTTAAGGAATATTCATCTTTGACTTGTAAAGCTACATTTAGTTATGCCATTACCATAGTAGCATTGATAGGGACTTTGTTATTTATGTAATGGATTGCATAGGTAACCTTAGGAGACAAGGGGAAGAGAAGAGATGCTGCCTAGGAAATGATCAGATAAGAGGGGTGGGGGAGCTCCCAGTGACTTAAAGGTCAGAGAAAGAAATTTAGGAAGGACCTGCCATAATTGATCAAGCAGTTAAAAGTGCTGGTGGAAAGTCTGTACCTTCAGATTTGCAAGATTCTGTACATGTAGCCTCACAATAAGCTCATCTAGTTGTATTTCCTGTCAGGTTTACCCAGGAGGGCTGACATTTACTGGTGTTAATCCTCCTGTGTTTTTACAAAATATTTATCATTGTATTTTGTAAACTACCCAGACTTAGAGAAGATTAGGATCGCCTATAAATGTCATATCTATATCTATATATCTAAATACACACACACACATACTGAAGCCAAGCTACATTTTAGACCTGTTCTTTTTAGATTTATCAGGATTTTGCACTCACTAAGAGCATGAGTAGAATTACAGTATATTCTTTTGCATAGTTGATGAAATGACTGATTTATAATATAAACATATGGAGGCTATAACAATAAAGTCACCTCAAGTGCTTTTCTAATACCATTCAGATCAATCATCCATTGTGCTGGGCACTAAATATTGCTAAGAATGCAAGTGATTTTCCCATATGTAGCAGATATTATCATGACCAGTAATAGTGAGAGTAAGGTTTATTCTACACCTGTTGGTACAATATTTAATGGGTTGCAGCTGTTCCATTAAGTTCCCTATATCCCACAGGACCTGTTCCATTCTATTTGGGACTTGTCAGATAGTGAGATGTTATTTTATGGGTTTCCCATTGAATGTTGGTAGACAAATATTGTCCGATGGGTTCCCTCTACCCATCCTACCTTACCCAGGTATCCGTCCTGGTAGAGGTTTGAACCTCATGGAAAACCAGAATATATCTGTTTTATATATAATATACATCAATATATCAAGCCACAAATAAAAAGTGGTATTCTCTCATGAAACTTGGATCTAAGCCAGATAAGTCTTTAAATATAATAACCCAGTACTTTGCATTTTGCCTAGGTGGCAGCTAACACACATCTTTTAACAAAAAGATAAAATAATCTCTTAAATTTTTCCAAAGATTATGCAAGCAGAGTTTTCTATCTTTTGAAGCTTCTGAATTAGGCAAAAAAAAAAAAAGGGGGGGGGGGGCGGGGGTTAGTAGAAATTGTGCAGATAATCAAGTCTGGAGGTTACCAGAATATGCAACATGAGTTAAAGGCATATGCACCAAACAAACTGGGGGAATCCAGACAACCTAAGTTGAACTGGCATAAAGTAGTTATAGCTCAATCCCTCAATACCTTCTAAAAGATGGGCAATTGTCTATATTGGGGGTTTACTCAAAACCAGTATTTTATCTAGAAGAGATTAGTTGCAACCATGTAGAAAGAGGATCCTTTCCGAATGTAGTTTCCTTCAGAAGCATTTTCACATTGTCCCCAGCTGAACTTCCCCAACTTGGCAGGCAGCAGAAGTTTGTAGTTGCTCAACTTGTAATCTACTTCGAAACACAAGGGATGTCAAAAAGAAATCTGGAGCCTTCTGTTAGATTATTTTTATGGCCCAGTATCTCCCTTGACTGGTAAAATATCAGCCGAAGAGTCAAACACTGGGATCCAGATGCATGGCAGGGTCCATGCAATGGTTATATTGATTTGTTTTTATTTATTTATTGTTGTTTTTTTTAAAACCTTGGTTACCAATTATTTGATAGTTGAGGTATTTAAGCTTTGTTGGCTGCCCAGCTTCATGAATTTTAGAAAAGTGGAATAAGATACTTAAATGTCTACAGTTTTAAAGGGTAGAAGTAACCCGATGTGAGTTGCACAGCCAATGGCTTCCCCACCTCCTCAGGAGGCAAAAAGATACTTCTGAGAAGCCCACAGTTATTCACCATGCAGGAAAATGCAGAGTTTGGGCAGAGAGACCTGTGAGAGATAAAGGTTCCTTGAAGTCTGGAGCGTGTTGCCTCTTCTTTCCTTTCTTTTCCTTCTGCTAGACAATCTGAACGTTATCAAGGCAGAAACACTGAAATGCTTGCTTGCCTCCTGTGTTTTCTCTATCCTCCCACTAAGAACAAAAAACAAAAGAAAACAAAAACATTTTGCATTTTATACCTTTCTCTCTCCCACATAGCGAGCCAAGTTTCTGATCCTTTTAATATTTCCTGTTCTAGGTTTTATAATACCTTCTGTCTGGTTTTTTTTCCTGCTGTTTCTCTAATATGTCCACCTTCTGCTGTTCTTTTTAATTTGTTAATTATTTTACTTTTTTTTATTTGTTCTTTAGCCTGTTCTCTACCCCCACTATGTTCAGGCTATATCCAATTTACCATCTGTCATTTCCTTCCATTTCACAATATATATTTCCTTCTGATTGTGTCATGTAATTAATACTTCTCAATTTTGCTTCTCTCCAAGTTCTTTCAAGTCATTTCACATTTTTCTCATGACTGTCTTGTCTTCTTAGGTTCAGGGGTTTCAATGACAATGTTGCTATTAGTATTTCATGTACAATCTGTCTGAACATACTTATATCCCAGTATAATGTTCCACACTTTGGACAGAGTTGTCTTTGGTCCACAAATATTTTTGTCACCAGGCTCATCATTATTTTTTACTGGAAGTAGGTAACACCTGCTGTCTTTTATTATTTTTTTTTAAAAAAATTTATTTTTACAAGTCTGTAGAGATTCTCAGACATCCAGGTTATGGTTGTCCCAAAGATGCTTTTTCAGGAGGCAGCTGGACTTTCTTGTTTTTTCTTTGAAGACGTTTCACTTCTCATCCACGAAGCTTCTTCAGCTCTGACTGGATGGTGGGGAATGGAAGGATTTATATTCCTTGCAGGCAGCTGGTCATTTGCATCCTTTTAGAGGGTCACTGAAGCACTTTGAGGTTTATCTTTGTCCTCAGGGTCACCTGAGTAGTGCTAATGGTTCCTCTAGTCTGCAATTTTTTTCCCTCTGGAAATCCATTCCTACTCCCACCACCATGCAAAGGGTGTTCATCAGGGGTGAAATGCTCCCGGTTCAGACCAAATCGCCTGATTCGGTAGCGATGGAGGCGGGTGGTTCGGAGAACCAGTAGCAAAAATCCCTGCCCCCCCTCCCATGCCCAGATGAGCCGCACAATCATCAGAGGCTTTTTTTTTTTTACTTTTAAAGGCATTTTTTCTACAACCTCTTCAGCTGAAAAAATGCTTTTAAAAGTAAAAAAAAAAAAAAGCCTCTGAGGATCGGGCGGCTCAGCTGGGATTGTCAAAGGCTTTTAAAAGAAAAAAGCCATTATTGATCAGGCAACTCAGCTTGGATTGTCAGAGGCATTTAAAAGAAAAAAAGCCTCTGCCGATCAGGCAACTCAGCTGGGATCGTCAGAGCTTTTTGAAAGTATTTTTTAACAACCTCTTTGCTGAAGGGGTTGTAGAAAAAATGGTTTTAAAAGTTAAAAAAAAAAATTGGCCACGCCCACCCAGTCACATTACCCCCCACCAAGCCACGCCCACAAAACCGGTAGTAACAAATTTTTGATTTCACCACTGGTGTTCATCCCAAATTGTGTAAGTCTTTTATTTTTACAGTTTATCAAGCCCTTTATCAAAAGTCAATATCAGATTTTGGCACCTCCTCAGCCCTATTTCATTTAATTTTAAAAACTGACAATTCACATCAAATTTACAGACTATAACTTTTAGCCTGGTTCAAATCCAGCCCCATTTGAAGTTCAAACATGTGCTTTGCCCACGTTTCATCTTTCTAAGCAATCCTTTTAAAAATATGCATTTTCTGATTTGTACAAATCATAATGCTACGAAGGCTCAGAAGCTGTTGGTGTACAGATTGGCTTGGTGTAAAGGTCACATATTCAGAAAAAGGTCTTTTTGTATTTTTGCTGAGAGCTGTGAGTTATTATTATTATTTAAAAAAAAACACTCTCTAAACAAACTCCTTAGAATAATGGACAACGGTTGACCCTGCATAGTTCTGAAGCTTAAAAATTATGTCTAATCTAATGGGCCAAAATAAAATGTATCCAAGAAAACGATCTAGTAATATTATGTTCGTCTTCATCAATGACTTGGATGAGGGGATAGATGGGGAACTCATCAAATTTGCAGATGACACAAAGCTGGCAGGAATAGCCAAGACTCCAGAAGATAGGCTCAAGATATGAAGGATCTTGACAGACTTGAACATTGGGCACTATCTAACAAAATGAAATTCAACAGTGAAAAAAGTAAGGTTCTACATTTAGGGAAGAAAAACAAAATGCATAGGTACCATATATGTGGTACCTTGCTCAATAGTAGTAACTGTGAGAGGGATCTTGGAGTCCTAGTGGACAACCATTTAGATATGAGCCAGCAGTAGGCAGCAGCTGCCAAAAAAGCCAACACAGTTCTGGGCTGCATAAACAGAGGGATAGAATTAAGATTACGTGAAGTGTTAATACCACTTTTTAATGCCTTGGTAAGACCACACTTGGAATACTGCATTCAGTTTTGGTTGCCATGATGTAAAAAAGATGTGGAGACTCTAGAAAGAGTGCAGAGAAGAGCAACAAAGATGATTAGGGGACTGGAGGCTAAAACATAGGAAGAACAGTTGCAGGAACTGTGTATGTCTAGTTTAATGAACAGAAGGACTGTGGGAGACATGATAGCAGTTTTCCAATATCTCAGGGATTGCCACAAAGAAGTGGGAGTCAAGCTATTCTCCAAAGTACCTGAGGGTAGAACAAGAAGAATAGGTGGAAACTAATCAAGGAGAGAAGCAACTTAGAACTAAGGAGAAATTTCCTGACAATTAGAACAATTAATAAGTGGAACAACTTGCCTGCAGAAGTTGTGAATGCTCCAATACTGGAAATTTTTAAGAAGATGTTGGATAACCATTTGTCTGAAGTGTTGTAGGGTTTCCTGCCTGGGCAGGGGGTTGGACTAGAAAACCTCCAAGATCCCTTCCAACTCTGTTTTCTATTCTATTCTATTCTATTCTATTCTATTCTATTCTATTCTATTCTATTCTATTCTATTCTATTCTATTCTAATTCTATTCTATTCTATTCTAGGTTTCCTTTTTCAAGAATAAAAACTCCTTATAGTTAAATAATAAAGATATGTTATTCATTTATTGCACAAGAATTAAACGGGCACTTATTGAAAAGAATGTAAGCAGTGCCAGAATATTTAAAGGGAGAGAGAAAATTCTATCCTAATCAGAAACTAACAGAAAGGTCAAAGGATGCTTCAGTTAACATTCCAACAATGTGTTTTCTGATTGGCTAGCCATTTTGATTGACATCTGTAGCATGCATAGACAACAGAGATACTCTTATTATAGGTAGTTCTTGACTTGATACTGGAGTCTGCCCACTACAGTTATAAGTTATGATAGTTGTAAAATGGGTTGGTTACAGTAAATGCAGCCATGTTATAAAACACTTGAAGTTCAGTCACATGACTGTATGTGTGTGTGTGTGTGAGCTCAACTGTCTGAATTTTAAATCTGGATTATAAATAACCCCAAGGTAGATTCATCATAAGTTCAAATGCTTGCTAAGCGACTATTTGCAAATCAAGGCTACCTGTATTATTACTATTGCTACTACAGATACAGTTATTACTGTTTCTATTCTTTCTCTATAGAGATCAAAGTAGCAAAGTTATTCTTTAAAATAATTCTAAAAATAAGTTTATTAATATATTTCTAATAGAATAACAGAGTTGGAAGAGACCTTTGATGTTTTGTATTTCAATCTTCTTTGAATAAACTAAAATTTTCTGGAAAAAAAAGCAGGAGACCCTAACATTTCATATGAATGGTGGTCCAATCTCTTCTTAAAAAGCTCCAGTGATGGAGCACCCACAACTTCTGGAGGCAAGTTTTCCGCTGGTTAATTGTTCTCCCAGGAAATTTCTCCTTAGTTCTAGGTTGCTTGATTAGTTTCCATCATTGCTTCTTGTGCTGTCTTCAGGTGCTTTGGAAAATAGATTGACCCCCCCTTCTTTATGGCAGCCCCATAGATGTTGAAACACTACTATTATGTCACCCCTAATACTTCTTTTCATTAAACTGGACATTCCCAATTGCTGCAACTGTTCTTTGTATGTCTTAGTCTCCAGCCCACTAATCATACTTGTTGCTCTTCTCTGCTTCTTTCTATAGTCTCAACATCTTGTTGCGGGCTGCCCCCGGTTCGCACCGGTTCTATAGAACCGGTAGGAAAACTGGCGGGAGGCCCCGCCCACCGACCCCGACATCACCAAAATGCATCTGCACATGCTCAGAAGAGCACATGTGAGCAAAGCAAGCATGCGCGCACGGCCCCATTGCAGACCAGTAATAAAGGTAAGTAGAACTCACTCCTGCCCTGCATGTCCAGAAATATGTCAAACTCTAGATATATTAGCTGCCCACTTGCTCATTCTCTGAAAGCCTTAATATATGTTAAAGCTATCAGAGGTTTAATGTGCCTTTTTGCTTCTTAGGTATTAAAAACAAATCCTGAAAAATAATGTTGCTGCATTTTCACTGTCCGCCATTACATTAAGGCTTCACAATCAGGAATGGGGATTCTTTATGCAAAGAAAATTGAACTGTGCTTCCATGTGTTGCTACCTCTAGACTAGATTGGATATTAACCACAGCTGAAAGCTGTAAACATGCCCCCCCCCCAAAGCATACATGTGAAAGTAAAGGCTTCAGTGGTCCACCTGTTTCCATGGGAAACACAAAACACATTCACAAGTTTCTCTCATTATGGTACAACATGATCCATTTAGATGTTTTGCTTTCCCTTAGTTCAACTATTAATTTGCTTTCCTATATAACAATGTATGTCCTTCTTTATTTGTTACTCTTGCTGGATCTTGGTTTAGATCTGAAGATTTTTTAGCTTAAGAGTATGGGAAGCCATTTTCCACCCAGATGTACTATTTATTCATTAAGCTTTACTTGTTGTCTACTCTTTTCCAGTTGGGTGCCAACTGCCTTCATAAATTATGAACTAAAAATGATATTCTTTCATTTATATTCTCTTTGGAAACCCACTTTCTGCACTCGAACAGTCTCTGAATTTTGAAACAGCCATAGACTATGAACAGGAATCAAAAAAGAGACAAGCTTCCTTCTTAATGTCTATGCTTTCTCTTTACGTCTAATTACTTTGCATCTCTGCAATTTAAAAAAAAACTTCATTATTGATGTAGGTGGAGTCCCTACCAGCCCTTTTCATAATCAATAGCTTTTTGCTCCAAGCACCGTACAAACATATCCATCAATGATACTACATGTACAACTTGAATAAACAAAATGTTTTGTTAATAATTATAGACATACTGCAATGCTAATACTGGAGAAGGGAGGGATGGAAGATTTCAAAAATGTTGTTTTTCTTATCACTTTGAAAGTCCAATCGTAGAAAAGGACAGCAAAAATGAATTCCTTAGTTCTTTTCCCTTAGCAACATACAGTATGGTGGAGAAGTCCAGACAGAAACCCATACATATATTAACCCCCCAAAGCAGGGGTGTCAAACTCGATTTCATTGTGGGCCACATGATTGCGTTTGACCATAGGGGGCCAGGGTGGGCATTGCTGGGATGGGCACGGCCAGCTTGATGTCACTCGTGTAGGGGGGGGGGCGGTGGTGGCTTGAGTGCTCAGCCAATGAAAACAGGCTCCGGAGCTCTGTTTTCGGCTGTGACAGCCTCCTGCAACCCTCTGTCAGCAAAAATGGAGCTTGGACCTCTGCCAGCAAAAACTGGTCTGCGGTGCCTCTGCCAGTGAAAATGGAGCTGGGGCGGGCCGCAGCCGCCCCGAGCTCCATTTTCACTGGCAGAGGCCCTTTGCTGTTTCCAGGGTGACCCCATGGGCCAGATCTAAGCACCCCCGGACCGGTTCTGGTCCGTGGACCTTGAGCTTGACACCCCTGCCCTAAAGTGTGCACATATGTGAGAGATGTTTTTGCTGTCCCTGAAAGTGATTAAAAAAAAAAAATCCTTAAATATTTTGGCTCGGAACTACCTATAGGCAATCAGTAGCACGAACTTGAAAAAGTTTGACAGGGTCATTCAATTTCAATGAAAGGCTGAAATAATGTCTGCCAGAAATTAAATCATGACCATTTTTTTTTACTTCGTAATGTATGTAATATATGGCTGGCTGACCATTCAGCCATTTATTTATTCATCTAACTCTCCACATGATATTTTTACCATGCCTGAACTGACCCCAGCTTTTGCTTGTCCCAGCATGAGAATAGCCCCCTGACCATTTCTCAAGGCCAATAACCCATGATGTCCTCTTCTATCCACCTGAGCCCACCAGAAAGGCCACCTTCAACTGTCTTCTTCTGCTACATGACAAATATAGTGAGCCAACTTTTATGACTTGTGCCAGCTCGAACAGCTGGGTCCTGTTCATCTGCTTCATTTCAAAGTAAGGAAGCACCTCCAGTCCAATTGGTTACTGTGTGCCACTGTATCCCCTCTTTTCTGATCACTGGTGGCAATCCTTTTGATGTTAATTATTTTTCCAGGTTCACCAACGAAACAGCGAAGAAGCTTTTTTTTAAAAAAACAGTTTGCTGATGAAACAGTGAAACCTAGACTTCTCCTTATTTTATTTTTTTTAAAAAAATCTTGTGAAAGACCAGAATTGTGCCATATTCCCTTTCTAAGGCAGAATCAGTAGTGAAATTGTGGTTTTTGTTTGTTGATATTTTTCCCCCCAGTCCAGAGGGATAAAGATGCAGGAGAAACCACCAGTTAGGAACTCTGATTAAGAGTGGGCCAGAAAGAACATCAACCATTAAAGAGCATCAAAGCATCAACTTTGTCTTATTGTCCAACCATTGGACAAGAGACAAAGGACCTGAAATCTGGAAAGCGTTTTATCCCCCTCCCCATCCTGAGAGTTGAAAGCACTAGAAGTTGGAAAGCTCACCACCATCAAATCAGAGATGTGCCAAAAATGGCAAAAATATCTTTGCTCTTGACTACCATAGGAGCACTAGTGTTTCTGTTCTCTTTGCTTCTCTTATGCATTTGTGGTTGTTTGTGCTCGAGTCTCCCACCCTATGTGTCACTTTAAGAAGGACTTTATCTGGTTGTCCATCTTTACTTTGTGTTTTCCTGACATAGCAATCTCTGTCTAACCCCCTCCATGCAGGGTTAGGGGGAACTGCTTCCTCTGGAGTCTGAGTCAAAGACTACAGCAGACGGCATGAGATTGCTTTCCTCTTGTGGGATCTGGAGAATGTGGGATCTGAAGATTGTGGGATCTGAAGAATGACTGGCATTCATTCGTGGTGACCCAGATCTTAGAACTCTATCCCTTAAGTGGACAAATTGTTCACTTTCCTGCAAGGGGAAGAAACACAGGAAAGGTTTCTTCATCATCTGCAGATGGTAAGGATGTGCATGTACATAGGAGCCTGGGGAATACCATTATGTGGTTAAAGTAAATTGAGAATGATTTGCAAAAGGGCAGATTGTAATGTGGAAAAGCACTGCAAATATGAAGTCTTGAGTTGTTGTTATAGCTTTGTAATATTTTAAATAGGGAGAAAAATTCCAATAGTTAATTGATGACCTCCGAAGGCCTAATATCTATAGTGCTTTGTTTGGGACTCCCCCCCTCCAGAAAATGCCCACAATTGTCCTTTGTTGGATCAGATTTACAGTCTGGAATCATTAATTCTAATCTAGTGAAAAGAAGGACTAGGGGAGATATGATTGCAGTGTTACAGTGTTTGAGGGGCTGTCACAAAGATGAGGGGGGCAAACTATTTACCAAAAAATCAGAAGGCAACACAAGAACCAACGGATGAAAACTAATCAAGGAGAGAAGCAACCTAGAACTAAGGAGAAATTTGGAAATCAATGGAAATCAATCAGTAGTATGCCTTGCCTTCAGAAGTTGTGGGTGCCCCAACACTAGAGGCTTTCAAGAAGGGACTGGATAGCTACTTGTCTGAAATGGTATCAACTCTCCTGCTCATGCAGGGAGTTGGCCTAGATGACTTCCAAGGTTCTTTCCAACTCTGTTATTCTATATTCTATGTTCATTTGTAACATAAGGCTAAGAATAAATCTGGTCTGGTCAATTTATCCATGTAGATTTGAAATATATTTTATAATGTATGTTGGGCTACATAGGAAAAACAGCTTCATTGAGTGACTACATGAGTTGGGACTTCATTATTTTTAAGAGTCCTTCCAAGTCAACCAGACATCCTCTAAAGGAACCCAACATTATTACCCATGGAGAATCTTCTACAGAGGGCATTGTTTTTATTTCTCAAAAGGTTTCCTTGGAAAGGATTATCTGAAATCAACTATACTATCTTTATATATCAAGGGAAGACTATTTTTTTTTTTGATCTTTTAAACATGATAGATGTCCTGTTTTTTCTTTGTTCTGTTTTAAGGACAGCATACTATTTTCCTTACTTTCAGCTCTTTGGTTTATTATTTGTTTTATTATTGACATCTAACTTTATTTTTTTCTAACTTTGCTGATGCTTTACATTTCTTTTATTTTTAACTAAATTGCTTTTTGAAGTACTGATCTACAAATGACATATAAACACAACAAATGCATAAATATGTGATTTTTTTTGAAAAACACACACACATATATAAATGTGTGTGTCATTATTATGACTGCCACCTCTAAAAAGCAAACAAATTCCAGTCCATTTGTCATCTTCTGCTACTTCTTAAAAAATACAGGAAGTGTGAAGGCTGAATCTAGTATGTGTGTTTATAGTGAGTAATGCCGTTATTTTCTTTTTAAAATTGGTTTTCAATCAGACTGGCGATTCTCACCTAATTAAAAGTGTGAAAGCTGTTGTCTTTGGTTATTTTAGCATCTTCCTACCAAATGAAAACATATAGTAAAGGTGAACAAACTTAACAACCCATATAAAGTTTTATTGAAGCCAGTGATTATACTTTTGATATATTTATTCATGCAATATTGTAAAAAAGATATTTTTTTAAAAAAAGAAGAAGTCAAAAACACACTTTCTACTTTTTGTGCACACACACACACACACACACACACACACACACACACAAGTTTTGGTGTATTCGGGCCTTTTCCCATGTAAGATTGAGAGTATCTTGGCGACGTTTTGACGAGGTCTCACTCGTCATTTTCAGGCTGGTGTCTTCGGCTTCGTGCTTGTCTGAGGAAAGCGTGATCAGAGCTGCCGTTTCTCTATAAATACTGGTGGGGAGGTGTGGGGTGCTGGCTTTGTTGCTGTGAGCGGGTTGGTTGCCTGTGTTGCTACATCCTGATTAGTTGATGGAGTTGA